GACACGGAACTCTTTTTAGTGGGATTGTATATTTGAAGGTCCCATTACTCGAGTCCTGTGATATGTTGTTGATGATCAGTTGGTGTCTAATGGTAATTTACAAGAAAAAGCAATTTTGCACTTTGATCTGTATTAATAGCCATTACACGCCTTGTATTACATATGTGCACGCATTAGAACCATAGTAGTCTTTACCAGTGCGACATGACAATGAACTTCAATACTGCTATCTTTTTAGGACCATATAGGATCGTTCAACAAAAGAGTAAGTAAAATCCACAATTAAAAGTAGATAGTGCTTTCCATTATTTGATAAGTAGTTTTGTATGCTTAAAGTATATATGCAGTATCGTTGTAAATTTTTGTGCATTTTCTGTTTCTACAGTCTTCGATTGATCTAGACAGTTACAGTCATCCAAAAATAAGAGGAAATGAAGGAATGAATCGGTTGTTTTAAGAAGGAAAAGTAGCCAGTTAAATTAAAAAAATACTACAACTAGACGGAGTGTACAACAGAAGAAATTAAGTTAAGTGATCCATATATAATGTGTGTATGAAAATTATGATTTCTATTTTTATTTTAAGCTAATATTGTACCTAAAATATGGTTTGTATGTGTTACAGATTATTGAAGCATAAAATGATGTGATGTGATGTACGTTAGTGTAGACTATTCCAATTACGCAGTTGAAATACTACGATCTGCCAGAGAGTACAACGGAAGGATCTGTATGTAGTTTTCATATGAAAATTGTAATTTCTATTTTTATTTTAAACCCTATGTTAATGTGCGATTAAAATATGGTTTCTTCTATGTGTTACAGATTATTGAAGAATAAGATGATGCGGTGTGATCTATGTTAGTATGATTAGAAATAAATTTTCACATATTTATATTATCATTAATGCATGCATGGAATGAATAAATGTTTGTAATTAATAAAGTAATTCCATATGAATCTCATTATTATAACATTTTTTTGGATATATAAATTTTGAGTAATCAAGTATTTATTTAAAGATAAAAGAAGATAATGAGAACTGTACCTTATACTATATAATACAGAAAAAGTGTAAATAAGAAATTGCATTCTTACCATTTGTCCAAGCATTACAATAGAAACTGTACATCTTTTATATATTATGCTTATTCTGGATGTGTAGAACATTAAGAATTACTATTAAGGGGCTAGACTAGTTTCTCGGGTATGAAAGGAAGGTGATTTTCCAGGGCTAAAAAAAAAGACTAAGCAGACAAATATTTTCAAGTTTTAAGGATATATTTAGACACTTTTAACAAGTAAGTACAAAAAATTTCACGCAAAAATATCGAGTCTAACTCGAGTTATACGTTGCGCCTCCAAGAATGAAGTTATCAATCGGCTACAGTTGTAGACGTCTTCAGAATGTCAGTATCAGAGAAAACAAAATTTGACGTTAAACTAGATAAAATTCTTCGTACCAGGAACTAGGATCTTTTTGATATTATAACAATTGCAAGTTTTCCAAGCAAAAAACGAGCGTTTTTTTTTAGCAATAAAGGAATTTTATTTTCAAACCACTGTCACTTTGTTAATTTTCAATATTTTTGAAAGATCCTAGTTCATGGTACGGAGAATTTCATCTAGTTTAACGTCAAATTTTCTTTTCTCAGATACTGACATTCAGAGGACGTCTAAAACTGCAGCTGATTGACAATTTCATTCTTGGAGGACTTCACGGTGTAACGTATAACTCGAGTTAGATTCGATATTTTTGCATGAAATTTTTTGTATTTTCTTATTAAAAGTGTCAAAATATATTCTTTAAATTTGCAAATGATTATCTGCTTGGTCTTTCTTTTTAGCCTTGGAAAATCACCTCCCTTTAACAATCGAGAAACCAGTCTAGCCCCTTAAAGCATTTTATTACGTAAAGGATTGTTTAATTAGAATAAATGTTACTACTGCATAATTTCAATTACAAGTATGTATTCTTCAAGTAGACACATTATGAGATACTGCGAAACTTGTCAACACATATAATACACAAAACTAAAAACTGCAGTTTGTACTGTTGAAGCATAACACTAATTAAAGCATGTAATGGCTATTAATACAGATCAAAGTGCAAAACGGCTTTTTCTTGTAAATCACCATTAGACACCAGGTGATCATCAACAACATATCACAGGACTCGAATAATGGGACCTTCAAATATACAATCCCACTAAAAAGAGTTCCGTGTC